GTTGGGTGTTGGACTCCTCTCTCTGTTGTACTTGGAGTAAGATGATCCTTCAAGAGCTTGTAGCCGGTTGTAGATCGATCCAAGGTGTTTGCTATTCGTGATCTGTTTTATATTCATGATCTGTGTTCTAGACGGTTCTTAATATCCCAACATCCCTAATCAATTCATCTATCATTGTTTCATTGATCATTGCTTGCTTCTCTGCGATTAGCCCCTGTTGATCTAGCGTTTCTTCCTTATTGATTTACAACCTCGTTATACTTGCTAGTTCTGTTCACCATTACAACCTCAATCATACTTTTGTTTTAGCTTGATCAAAAATCCATAGTTTCAAAGTGTACTCAATAGCCAGTCCTTGTGTTCGATACCCATACTTCCGCGATCTGTGCACTTGCAGAGGTCTAAGAGTTTAGTAAAACCTGACTCAACATCAAGTTTTTGGCGCCGTTGCCGGGAACTGCAGCAGTACCTTTGAATCTCGACTAGGATCTAGTATAGAATTTCCTTTTGTTTTGCTTGCTTTTGCTTTTGAATTTTCAGTTTTTGATTTCTTTTTATTTGGTTTTTGCTTTTGCTTTTGTTTTTCCCTTTTGATTTAGTTTATTTCCTAGAATCTTTTCAGGTGCATGACTAGGAGGTCCCAAAAGGATAACCTAGTTGAACATCCAGAGATAGACAAGCTCGAGAAGTTACTTAGGAAAAGAAAAGCCCAAGAGATGGCCGACGAAGCAGCTCGCGCACATGCCACTGAGGTGGCGCGCGCTAATGAAGAAGGAAGAGATCCACCGCCTTGTCCTCCTAATCCACAAGATCCTGCTGGGGATGTGAATGTGCAACCTCAAGCAGACATTCAAACAATCGGAGACTATGACTCTGCCGATGCCTTCTTCACGGATAGAAACCCTATCCACCCACCACTTCCTGCAAGGAATGACTATGAGATCAAGCCTTAGATCATAGCATTGGTTAGACAGAACCAATTCAATGGCCTTCCAGCCGAACATCCTCTTGATCACATAGAAAACTTTGAAGAGATTTGCAGCACTACTAGATCCAATGGAGTCTCTGCTGACTACTTGAAGTGCAAGCTCTTTTCATTTTCTCTTGGCGACAAAGCTTCAAGATGGTTGAAGTCTCTGCCAGCTCACTCCATCACCACTTGGGATGAGTACAAGGCCGCTTTCATCAACCACTTCTACAGCAAGCAAAGATCAGTTTCTGTAAGGAACAAGAACTCCAACTTTCGCCAAGCCGCCAATGAATCTTTCTATGAAGCGCTAGACCAATTCAAGGTGTATATTAGGGACTGCCCTAATCATGGTTTCAAGGAGGGAAACCTATGGAACATTTTCTATCGTGGCATAGACCACAAGTACAAGCTTTCATTGACACTGCAAGCAATGGAAACTTCATGACCAAGACAATTGATGAAGCTAAGGTTCTTATTGAGAATCTTGCAGCTAGTGATTGTAACAATTGTCCTGATTATGATCACTCAAGCCGCACCACTACTACATCCCCAGATGTTTCTCAAATGGCTGAACTCAAGAACATGATGGCTCAAGGGACAGCTAAAGCATATCAATGCAATAGAAGGGATGACTGATGCCAATGAGGACCCATCAAGAGAGTGCATGGGAGATTTCTCTAATGAAGCCAATGAAGAAGATGTGAACTACATTGGAAACTATGGGAACAAGGAATACAATCCAAACTATGGCCTCCAAGGCTTGATTCTCACTGGCTAACCCCCTGTTTCTGAGATCAAGTCTTGGTTGATAGCTTTCACCTTGGGAAAGGGTTAGCTAGGCATTGAGAAGCTCAATATCAAGAGATAGCTTGAGTACAAGTTGTTTAAGAGCAAGACTGATTAAGTATAGCCTCCCTTTAGCTGCAAAACCCTGTCTTTAACCCTAATCTTCGCATTAGCATCTTAAAGTTTGCACCTTTATCGCTTTTCATTGCATTTCCTCTGTTTTTACACCAACTCGACCCTCAACTCGATCGAGCTCGACCCTCAACTCGATCGAGCTCATCAACTCGATCGAGCTCTTGGTCGAGCTCATCAACTCGATCGAGCTTTTCGAGCTTGTATCTGCTTGTTCTTGTTAATTTCTTGCATTTAGCTGCTTTCTTTTACTTTCTGCATTGCATTTCCGTTATATTAGGTTGTTTAGTTGTTACATCCCTCCTTTTAATCATTTGGCTTGACTTTCTTGTGTTTGCATATTCTCATAGAGCAACATCTCACCCTTATGGATTGATAACCTCTTATACTTCAATGACTATGATGGTTAAGAGGAATTGATTGATTGTGATTGCATTACCACTCATCTATTACCACTGTTTGCATTCCACCTCATCTCATTCATTCTTTTCACATCACACACAAATCCTATCATCAATTTGGCGCCGTTGCCATTTGGGTTTGTTACTGTTGCATTTGAGTTTCCAAATCACTTGAACGATCAAGTACTATCCCACCTTTGTTGCTTGTACTGCTGGGTTTTTGACTGTTTTGCAGGTGTATGTGAACTCGATCGAGCTCATCAACAGAGAACTTGGTCGAGTTAGACATCAACATAGGCAGAAAACAGAGAAAGAAGAGCCAGAGGCAACAAGTTCAGTCAGAGGTGCTTGTTACAGATACTATGGATATACCAGAGGGTAATGGAAACCCTCTGGGTAATGGAAATGGTCGAGCTAGGCAGACTCGACCGATTGGGCTTGGAGATGCACCAAACCGCCACCAGCAAAGAAGAGGGATTGTCCCACCTCCTGTCCAGAACCACAATTTCGAGATCAAGCTGGGGATGATTACCTTAGTCCAGAACAAGATGTTCCATGGATTGTCTTGTGAAGATCCCATTGATCACTTGGATGAGTTTGATAGGCTGTGTGATCTGACCAAGATGAATGGTGTCTCTGAAGATGCCATCAAGCTGAGACTCTTCCCTATGTCTCTTGGTGACAAGGCCCATCAATGGGAGAAGAGTTTACCCCATGGATCAATCACTACATGGGAGGATTGCAAGAAGGCATTTCTTGCCAAGTTCTTCTCTACTGGTCGCACTGCTAAGCTGAGAAGCGAGATATCTGGTTTCACTCAAAGGAACAATGAGACATTTGCTGAAGCTTGGGAGAGATTCAAGGGTTACACCAGTCAATGCCCTCATCATGGCTTCAGCAATGAGTCTTTGCTTTCCACACTTTACAGAGGAGTTTTGCCAAGATACAAAGAGATGTTGGACACAGCCAGTAATGGAAACTTCCTCAATCAAGATGTAGATGATGGCTGGCAGCTTGTGGAGAACATTGCTAACTCAAGTGGGAGCTATGGAGAGGAGTATGATCGCACAAACAGGAGCTCGACCTCCAACTCGATCGAGTCTGATAGTAAGCTGAGAAACGATGTCAAGGCACTCAATGAGAAGTTGGATACGCTTATCTTAGCTCAATCCACAATGAAGAAGGCCAACTTTGTTTCTAAAGAAGAGATGGTTCAAGGCCAAGAAGAGGAGGAGAATCAGTTTGCTGAAGTGTGCTACATTAAGAATGGACAAGGAGGTTATCAAAACGGTTACTATGGCTACAAGTCACACCCTACCATGTCCTACAGTAACACTGATGTTGCCAATCCTCAAGATCAAGTCTACCCTCCGCAGCAACAGGCTCCAGCGAGTCAGCCTCCACAGCAAGGATATGGTCAGAAAGGGAATTTCCAGGGCCATCAGGGAAATTATCAAGGACAACAGCAGAGTGTACCAACTGGGTATGCACCTCAAGCGCCTCAGGCTTCACCAAGTCAGGAACAAGAAATAAAAGCCATGTTGAAGCAGCTCTTACAAGGTCAAGCAGATGGTGCTATGGAGATAAGCAAGAAGTTGGCTGAGATGAACTCTAAGATTGAATCCTTGAACACTAGAGTTCACTCTTTGGAACACCATGCTTCTTCTTCTGCTGCTAAGCAAGGTCAATTTCCTGGAAAGGCTGTTCAGAATCCAAAGGAGCATTGTAGAGCGATCTTCACTCAAGAGGAAGGATTTGATCAACAAGCTGCTAATGAGAAGGATATTGAGGAGATCTGTATGCTGCTTAATAATGAAGACAATGTTGTTGCTGATGCTCCTGGAGTCCAGTACGCTCAACCTGAAGTGCAAGCTCCTCAGATAGCTATCCACGCTTCACCGGTTGAGCTCGCACAACAAGCTCGATTGGCAGCTCGATCGAGCCAGACCGTCTCACCAGCTCGATCGAGTCAGATGCTTTATGCTCCAACACCATCTGATGATGACACCTACAAGCCCCCTGTTCCATTTCCAAGTAGAATCCTTACCAAGAATCAGAAAAAAGTCATCACCAAGTTTAGGAATGACATGAGTAAGATTGGGGTTGAGCTACCAAATATGGGAAGTTTTCAAGCTGCTCATGTCCAAAAGAAGATGATTAAGGACATACTTGATAACAAGGACGAAGTAGCTCAGCTTTTGGAGCCCTCTTCTTCCCAGGGTGATCTCTTATCCACACCAACCTCACTACCCAAGCTGAATGGTCAGGGAAGCTTCACTCTGCCTTGTACACTTGGTCACCTACAACTTGAGGATGCACTTGTTGATTCTGGAGCAAGTATCAATCTGATCTCTCTTGTTCTAATACAGAAATTGGGTATACAGAGTCTGATCCAGCGACCTAAGTCTTCTATCATGTTTGGGGATGCTTCTTCTAAAGCCCCACTTGGTATTGTCATGGATTTCCCTTTGAGAATTGGAGAGTGCACAATCCCAATTGATCTAACAGTTCTGGATATGGTTGACGAGAAGGATGTGCCATTGATCTTAGGGACACCTTTCCTCACCACTGTTGGTGCCTCCATTGATTTCCATACAAAGAAAGTGATCCTGCACAATGTCAACAGCAAAGTCTCTTACCCTCTCAAGGCATCAAGCTCTAAATATTGTGGAACCATTGCCACTAAGTCACTGAGCATCAAGGGTGATGAGTTTGCTGAGGTTGAAAAGATGGAGATAATGACTGAGAGCAGCACAGAGCCAGTTATTTGTGAACCTTGTGTTCTGGATGAGATGGGTCTTGCAGTTTTGTTTAGTGAGCAGCTAGGAAGTGCTCAAAAAGATGGGGAGGGTATGGCTTTGAAGGCGTCTCCTGGACATAAAAGAAAGATGATCACGCCTCAGACTCTCTCAAGCGCTCCATCCCAGCTTACCCTGACTCTGTTGCCATCCAAGTTCACAAATGGGAAGATTGAGTACAAGATCAAGTGCAAGAGAAAGTCTAAACCGTTTTCCAGTATCAATGCCTTGGTCAGTCCTGAGCTGCAAAAAGATCAAACCAAGCTCAAGGAGCTCCTATCTTCAGTCCTTACTGTCACATTTGATGGCGGGACCGCTCTCATTCATGCCTAAAAGGTAAAAGGTCAAGCTATGCGACCTAAAACAAGCTCACTTGGGAGGAATTCCCATGTCTATCTTGTATATAATGCTTTCATTTAAGTTCTTTGTAGTTGTTTCTGTCTAAGGCTTGCAGGAGTTAGTTCAAAAGGGAAGCTATTCTGACTCGAGCAACAGACTCGATCGAGCCCAATCTCACCACACCTATTTTGGCTTGATTGATGCCGTTATGATGCTATTGTCTCCTGCCCTCTCCAACTCATGACCTTGCTTCCCAGTTCTTTGGGGAGCACTAAGGTATCAAACGTTTTTCCCTTGTACATACCATCTCATTTTCATGCATTTTTCTTTGTTTTTCCCTCTTGAATCTTTCTTTGAGCTTCTTTCACACAAGGGACTGTGTGATTTAAGTTTGGGGGAGGGTTCAAGAGATGATTTAACCTTGTTTATTCTGTTCTTAGTTTTTCATTCATCTATTTGCATAGAAAAACCAAAAAAATCATAAAATTTTCAAAAATACAAAAATATTTTCATCTTTTTGCATTCATATCTCTTAGAATTGTTTAGGATTGCATCTTTCATTTGCATTATTGATTTGATCTTGAAAACTTGTCTATCATTTGCGATTTCTTAAGTGCCCATCTTCTAGATTCTCTTGTGCATTAGGGTGAGATTGATTGAGCAGCAAGTACCATGTTTATCTTGATCATATCACTGCATCAACATCTCATTCAACCATTGCTGTGATTTGATGCATCTCCCTAATCTATTTGAACCATAATTTGATCTTTAATTACCAATGCTTGCATTTGATTTCAACTCATGGCTACCACATACATATCTGGACATTCTTTACCTATTTTCATATCCTCTTGCTTGTCCAGATAGCTGATCTCCATCTTTGAGACAGTTACCCACCTTAAACCTAAGCCTTTTTCATTTCAAACCCCATATTATCTCTTGTGCGATTGTGAGAACCTTTCTTGGCTTTGCTTAGCATAAGGTGTTGTGTTTAAACCGGCAGGGGCAGTAGTTCTAGTTGTCTAGTTCTCTTGGGATTGTTTTCAGGCTAAGTTTGGGGGTGCCAACTCGAGCTCGATCGAGTTGAGGGTAAAAACCAGAAAAGTGGTAAAAGTTGGGAAAATCCAAAGGAAAAAGAGTTTAGTTAAGTCCAGGGAGTTGGCAGTGTTAAAAAAAGGGTCTAGTAAAGGTTTGGGAAGTTAAAAAAAGAAAGTAAAAGGGTTCTAAGTAGAAAGAAAAGAAGGCAAAGCCTCAAGTGTCAAAAAGTGAAGAAAAGTTCCCTAAGTGTTTAGAAAATCCCAAACCGCTAGATGTTACCTCAAGAAGCCTCTCCCTAGGATGTTCTTAAAAGAAAAGTGAGCAAAGCTCCTCAGTTTCAAAGGCGAAATGCCAAAAAGGGTAGTTAGGATTTTGTTCTAAAAAGCTCTAAGTGTTGAACTCGATCGAGTTAGGATTAGGCGGCTCGAGTTGCTGTCTTGCACCATCTTTGGTTCTAACACTTAGCCTTCTGCCAAAGCAAAGCCACTTTCTTGAGAGATCCCTGTTACTAAACCACCATACAAAAGAGACCCTCTTTGTCTCTTAACCCATAAACCCTTGAAACCAAATGAGTTGATTGATCTTGCATGTTTTTGGTTCACTTTTTAATGAATGTTAAAGGGATTTGCTGATTTGAATGCATTGTTTGAGTGACTGTGAAGTGGGATTGATGTTGATAAGCATGGTTAAGATCTTAATGAATATCTCTCACCTTGTTGCATTCTAGAATCTCTAAGTTGGACATTTAGCAAATCGCTTTTGAGGACATGTTTTTAAAGGTTGAATCAACTTTGTTTTCAAACCTCATCCCTTTCTTGTTCTATTTGTTTGCTTGAGGGCAAGCAAAGGTCAAGTTTGGGGGTGTTGATGTACTTGCATTTTACATAGTTTTAGCTTCTTTTATGCATCTTTTGCATAGTTTCATTCCAAGCATCATATCTTGATTTTTCTCTTCTTTTGCATACATAGTAGTTTTAGGCTTGCATTTGCATACATATGCACGTTTGATGTCTTAATCAGGTCATTTGGAGCTAATTGGAACATTGCCTATCACTGGAGACTAGTTGAGGAAGGAAAGACTCTGTCTGCCCCATGTACGGACCCGCACTCGGTCGAGCTAGTGAGATGCGTCCGAAGTATCGTATCAAATGAAGGGTTTACACTCCGATTCAGCCTCTGACTTCTTCTTGGAAGTTGTGGATAATTGAGTTAGCTTTCGTCTGGAGGTGGTTTCATGTCATTCGGACCAGCGGTTCAGAAGATACGACGATTTTGGTTGGACTCGACCCACCAGCTCGACCGGCCAGTTTCCAACTCGATCGAGCTGCTTTTCCAGGAGTCAAAGTCAAACCCGAAAAATGTTGCTTCCCTTTGACTCCCCTTTGACCCTAAACCTAGTTTGCTTTACTATAAATGGCATTGAGCCACGAATTAAACATAGCTTTTGCTCAACTTTTATTTAATCTTGTATTTGCATTTCCCTTTTTACTTTTTAGCCTCTCTTTGTGTTCTTGAGCTCTTGCTCATAGAACCCTAGATCTAGGCTTTATTATTGTATTTCTGCACTTCTCTATTTCAATAAAAGTTGTTCTATCTCATCTCCTCTATCTTTTGATGTTCATTCATTGCATTTGGTTGTTTATTTCACCATGATTAGTGAGTAGTTCCCTTTAGGGCTTAAGAAGACAACTCGCAGAGAAGGAGGAAGACTTCCAAGGCCAGACGCTCCAGCTCGACCACCGGACTCGATCGAGTCCAAACAGAGGAAACTCAACTCGATCGAGCTGACGGTCGAGTTGACCTGGAGGAGCCCAGTTTGAGATCCGGGATTTGAGTACGATCCAACACCTACCAGGAGCTCCCCGGAGTAGATGGAACCCCTACACAGTACGAGCTAGCCATGCTCCACCAAGGCCAAGGAGCCACACACTTTGAATGAAGAAGAGGAGAAGAGGAGCCGCAAGCTCGATCGAGTGAGCCCCCAGTTGATGGAGTGCTCCTGATGGCCGTCTCCCATCTCCAGACCACGACCTAGTCCTCCCAGTTCTTTGGGGGGCACTGAGGTATCCAAACACCAACCCTTGTATATACCATTTCATATTTTCTTGCATTTGTTCTTTTTTTTCTTGGTTTTGCCCTCTTGAATCTTTCACTAAATTTTTCTCACACAAGGGACTGTGTGATTTAAGTTTGGGGGAGGGTTCAAGAGATGATTTAACCTTGTTTTCTTTGTTCTTAGTTTTTCATTCATCTTTTGCATAGAAAAACCAAAAAAATCATAAAATTTTCAAAAAATCCAAAAATATTTTCATCTTTTTGCATTCATATTTGTTAGACTTGTTTAGGATTGCATTTTTCACTTGCATTGTTGATTTGACTTTGAAAACTTGTCCATCTTTTGCGATTTCTTGAGTGCCCTGTTTTTAGATTCTTTTGTGCATTAGGGTGAGATTGATTGAGCAGCAAGAACCATGTTTATCTTGATCATATCACTGCATGCACATCTCATTCAACCATTGCTGTGATTTGATGCATTTCCCTATCTATTTGAACCATAACTTGATCTTTAATTACCAATGCTTGCATTTGATTTCAACTCATGGCTACCACATACATATCTGGACATTCTTTCACTTTTCATATCCCTTTTGCTTGTCCAGATAGCTGATCTCTATCCTTTGAGACAGTTACCACACCTTAAACCTAAGCCTTTTCATTTCAAACCCCATTTTATCTCTTGTGCGAATTGTGAGAACCTTTCTTGGCTTTGCTTAGCATAAGGTGTTGTGTTTAAACCGGCAGGGGCAGTAGTTCTAGTTGTCTAGTTCTCTTGGGATTGTTTTCAGGCTAAGTTTGGGGGTGCCAACTCGAGCTCGATCGAGTTGGGTGTCAAAAACCAGAAAAGTGGTAAAAATTGGGAAAAACCCAAAGGAAAAAGAGTTTAGTTAAGTCCAGGGAGTTGGCAGTGTTTAAAAAGGGTCTAGTAAAGGTTTGGGAAGTTAAAAAAGGAAAGTAAAAAGGGTTCTAAGTAGAATGAAAAGAAGGCAAAGCCTCAAGTGTCAAAAAGAAAGAAAAGTTCCCTAAGTGTTTAGAAAATCCCAAACCGCTAGATGTTACCTCAAGAAGCCTCTCCCTAGGAAGTTCTTAAAAGAAAAGTGAGCAAAGCTCCTCAGTTTCAAAGGCGAAATGCCAAAAAGGGTAGTTAGGATTTTGTTCTAAAAAGCTCTAAGTGTTGAACTCGATCGAGTTAGGATTAGGCGGCTCGAGCTGCTGTTCTTGCATCATCTTTGGTTCTAACACTTAGCCTTCTGCCAAAGCAAAGCCACTTTCTTGAGAGATCCCTGTTACTAAACCACCATACAAAAGAGACCCTCTTTGTCTCTTAACCCATAAACCCTTGAAACCAAATGAGTTGATTGATCTTGCATGTTTTTGGTTCACTGTTTTTGCTTAATGAATGTTAAAGGGATTTGCTGATTTGAATGCATTGTTTGAGTGACTGTGAAGTGGGATTGATGTTGATAAGCATGGTTAAATCTTAATGAATATCTCTCACCTTGTTGCATTCTAGAATCTCTAAGTTGGACATTTAGCAAATCGCTTTTGAGGACATGTTTTTAAGTGTTGAATCAACTTTTTTCAAACCTCATCTCTTTCTTGTTCTATTTGTTTGCTTGAGGGCAAGCAAAGTTCAAGTTTGGGGGTGTTGATGTACTTGCATTTTACATAGTTTTAGTACATCTTTTATGCATCTTTTGCATAGTTTTAGCATCCATTAGCATCATATCTTGTTCCTTTTCTCTTCTTATGCATTCATAGTAGTTTTAGGTTGCATTTGCATACATATGCATGTTTGGTCCTTTGAAATAGGTCTTTTGGAGCATTCTGGAGCATATGGGACGTAGGAGCATGGAGGGACTTGGCACATGGACGCAGCTCAACTGGATACGCAAAGGAAGAAGGAGGAAGCCATCTTGAAGACCAGCTCGACCACTACTCGACCAACCGGTCGAGTTCCTCAACTCGACCGGCCAAGCTTCAACTCGATCGAGCTGAGAAGTCAACAGTCAAACCCGAAAAATGTTGCTTCCCCCTTGACTTTCCTTTGACCCTAAACCTAATCCTCTTGTATTTAAAGGCTCTAAGCCACGAAAAAACCACCAAGCTTTAGATTATTTTGTTTTAGTTTCTTTTAATTTATTGTCTTTTACTTTTGAGAGCTCTAATCCCATCTTTGTGTTCTTGAAGCTCTTGCTTCTTGAATCCTAGATCCTGGATAATCTCTTTGTATTTGCACTTGCTTATTTCAATAAAAGTTGTTTAATTTCATCTCCTCTTTCTTATGATGTCTCTTTTATTGCATTTGCTTGTGTTTACATTCATGTGTAGTGAGTAGTTACCCATTAGGGTTTGAGATGGGATAGATTAGAGGTTTCATATGCTTAATCCTTCTAGCTTATGGTCTTAATCTAGATTCTCTCTCTTTTGGATAATCTTAAGGCTACATGACCACTACCCCTGGCTTGTATGTCCTTAGGCGATTCTCCACATGGAAGTGATGGCAAATCGCTGGAAAAGATCCACTAAGAGCTCCAATATCTCTTGCTCTAGAAATAGAGGTCTAAGGGGTTGGATGGATTAGTTTGGGCAATGATCCTATGGCCTCCAAGGTTTGATTCTCACTGGCTAACCCCCTGTTTCTGAGATCATTCCTTGGTTGATAGCTTCACCTTGGGAAAGGGTTAGCTAGGCATTGAGAAGCCCAATATCAAGAGAAGCCTTGATACAAGGAGTTTTAAGAGCAAGATGATTAAGTGTAGTTCCTCTGATTGCAAACCCTGTCTTGAACCCTAATTCTCTCTTTAGCTTGTTAAAGTCGCTGCCTTTATCTTTTTACTTCAACTCGACCCTAAACTCGATCGAGCTGGTACTCTGTTCCACTCGACTCGAGCTGCTTTATTTACTTTTGCATTTCTTTTCTGCATTTCATTTAGGTTGTTAGTGTTACCCCAAATCTTTACTGCTTGCTTGACTTTCTGGTTGTTTCATATTCTCATAGAGTGACAAGTTTCCCATTTTGGATTGATAACCCTTTACTATAATGACTATGATGGTTAAAGGGAATTGTTGACTTGTGTGTTTGCATCTTACCACCTCTCATATACCACTGTTGCATTCCACCATCTCATTTCATATCTTTCACATCCACACACAAATCTATCATCAATGATGCATTTTGGAGCAAAACCATAGGATTTGCACTTCAAGCCGCTCCATGCACAAGCACCAACTTTAAGAGGGCCCAGAAAAAGATCTACTCAATGGATTTCATCAAGACCAGTTCCCTGCGTGCTCTGATTGAGTTAACTTTCCAACGCAACTGGAATGGCCTATTTGGATGAGTAGAAAAGGAGTTATAACCAAAAGAGTGAAGACTGTCCAGACGGCTCTATCGAGAATCAGCGCCCAACCGCGCAGTCCGGCTGGCCGAGGAACGAATGTTCACGCTCGGCCAAATCTCATCCGTCCGTCTGAAGTCTCGGCCAAAGTCCAAAACCGTTCGGCCGATCAGTCACGACCCGGGAAACTAAGCCCGCGGTCGGCCACGCCACAACCGCTCACGCCACACCGCGCACGCGCGAGCCGGGAAACAAGCCTCGCGGCCGCGCAACTTCTCGCGTACCACGGCCGAACGCCGTCCGAGCCGGGAACGCCCCGCGTCCGGCCGAGAGATTCATCGGCCAAACTCATCCGTCCGACCACAGCGGCCGACCACGAACATCCGGCCACGACCGTTCCGACGTACACGACCCGACATCCGGCCGATCGTCCCGACCGACCGTCCCAACGCCGCGGTCGACCCGAAGCCCGTTTTGAAGCCCGTTTCATATTTTCAAGCCCGGCTTAACCCTAAGCCGCCTCTAAAAGACCTAGCACTATATATATAGCTTTTTAGCCTCTTGTGAAAAGAGAGCCGCCCTTGTATTTCGATTTCCTACTCTAAGTTTTATTGCAATCATGTTTTCTTCATCTCTATGTGTGTTTGCTTTGATCATGTCTGAGTAATCCACTAGTTAGGTTGCTAGGGTTACTATTCAATGAGTTGCTTGCATGATCTTTGATTTCAATGATTAGCTAGGGATTATATTAGAGTCTTTGTCTCGTCTTGTGCACTTAACTAATGCTGATTGCTTTACCGCGCATCTAGTAATCCGATCTTAGGTTGATTTGAGCCTCGACAGTGTTGTATCATTCGCCGGACATATTCTTTGACAAGCTAGGTTTCTTAGACTGCGAAAGTTGATCTACTATATCTAGTGAACTGTATCAGAACCTATTCATTCTAAAGCTTGATTTAATCACCTAGGGACATACCAAAAGTTTAGCGACTAGGTAGATTAACAAAGGAGCCGGAGCCTCGAAAGTGGAATGGTTTTATATTCGTGATCTGTGTTCTAGACGGTTCTTAATATCCCAATATCCCTAATCAATTCATCTATCATTGTTTCATTGATCATTGCTTGCTTCTCTGCGATAGCCCCTATGACCTAGCGCTTTTCCTTTATTGTTTACAACCTCGTTATACTTGCTAGTTCGGTTCACCATTACAACCTCAATCATACTTTTGTTTTAGCTTGATCCAAAATCCATAGTTTCAAAGTGTACTCAATAGCCAGTCCTTGTGTTCGATACCCATACTTCCGCGATCTGTGCACTTGCAGAGGTCTAGGAGTTTGGTAAAACCTGACTCCACATCAAGTTTTTGGCGCCGTTGCCGGGGACTGCAGCAGTACCTTTGGAACTCGACTAGGATCTAGTCTAGAACCTTTCCTGTTTTGCTTTTCTTTTGCTTTTGAATTTTCAGTTTTTGATTTCTTTTTCTTTGATTTTTGCTTTTGCTTTTGTTTTTCCCTTTTGATTTAACTTTGTTTCCTAGACTCTTTTCAGGTGCATGACTAGGAGGTCCAACAAGGACAACCTAGTTGAACATCCAGAGATAGACAAGCTTGAGAAGCAACTTAGGAAGCAAAAGCCCAAGAGATGGCCGACGAAGCAGCTCGCGCTCACGCCGCTGAAGTGGCGCGCGCTCAATGAAGAAGGAAGAGATCCACCTCCTCCTCCTCCTAATCCACAAGACCTGCTGGAGATGTGAATGTGCAACCTCAAGCTGGAGCACAAACAATCGGAGACTATGACTCTGCCGATGCTTTCTTCACGGATAGAAACCCTATCCATCCACCACTTCCTGCAAGGAATGACTATGAGATCAAGCCTCAGATCATAGCATTGGTTAGACAGAACCAATTCAATGGCCTTCCAGCTGAGCATCCCTCTTGATCACATAGAAAACTTTGAAGAAATTTGCAGCACTACAAGATCCAATGGAGTCTCTGCTGACTACCTTAAGTGCAAGCTCTTTTCATTCTCTCTTGGCGACAAAGCTTCAAGATGGTTGAAGTCTCTGCCAGCTCACTCCATTACCACTTGGGATGAGTACAAGGCCGCTTTCATCAACCACTTCTACACCAAGCAAAGATCAATTTCTGTAGGAACAAGATCTCCAACTTTCGCCAAGCCAACAATGAATCTTTCTATGAGGCGCTAGATCGATTCAAGGAGTACATTAGGGACTGCCCTAATCATGGTTTCAATGAGGGAAACCTATGGAACATCTTCTATCGTGGCATAGACCACAAGTACAAGCTTTCATTGGACACTGCAAGCAATGGAAACTTCATGACCAAGACTGTTGATGAAGCTAAGGTTCTTATTGAGAATCTTGCAGCTAGTGATTGTAACAACTGTCCTGATTATGACCGCTCAAGCCGCACCACTACTAGCTCCCCTGATTCTTTTCAAATGACTGAACTCAAGAACATGATGGCTCAAGTTCTTAAGGGACAGCTCAAGCATATCAATGCAATAGAAGGGATGAGTGATGCTAATGAAGATTCATCAAGAGAATGCATGGGAGATTTCTCTAATGAAGCCAATGAAGAAGATGTGAACTACATTGGAAACTATGGGAACAAGGGATACAATCCAAGCTATCGCCCAAACCCCAACATGTCTTATAGAAACCCCAATGTGGAGAATCCTCAAGACCAAGTGTATCCTCCAAGGTATCCACAACAACAAAGACCTCCTTACCAATCTCAAGGAAGTCAATTTCAGCCAAGGCAAGGATATGAGCAGAGATCATCATATCCCGCCCAAGGAGCCATATGCTTCTTCACCAAATCAAGCTCCTCCAAACCAACAAGGTGGGAGATTTGAAGGAATCCTCCAACAGATCATGGATGGCCAGAAGAGAAACACTAAAGAGATGTATGAGAAGATGGACACTTTGTTCAGCAATCTCAACACCAAGTATGATGCTGTTGCCACTCATGTGAAGAAACTAGAGACTCAAGTCACTCAAACTATGGAAGCTGTTAAGAGACAGGAAGCTGAATCCAAGAAGTCCTTTTGCAACTCAGCTGCCATAGAAGAAAGATTTGAAGACCAAGTTCCAGAATGGATGCTTTCAAAACCTACTGTTGATTGCATGATTTGGCCTGAAGAGAATTACCCAGAGAGAGAGTCCAATCGAGCTAGAAAGAGAAGACTCTTCCCAAAGATTATCCCCAAGACAGATAACTCAGGAAAGTTTGCTGTGCCTTGTATCATCAAAGGTAACATTCTTGAGCAATCTTTGTGTGACACAGGAGCCAATGTGAACATCATGTCTAAGAGGATAGCTGACAAGATAGGCCTCACCAAGATAGAGCCATCATCCATCTCCATCAACTATGCTGATTCATTCTCACAAACACCCTATGGCTTTGTGCCTAATGTGATGGTGCAGATTGGAAATTGCTCTATCCCTACTGATTTCCAGATTGTGGAAATGAGAGAGAGTAGCCATAGACCTCTCATATTTGGAACCCCTTTCCTGTCTACTGTGGGTGCCATATTTGATTTCCCCAATCAAAGAATCTCTTTCAACAAGGTGAACAAGGGTATGTTCTTCCCTATGTGTTCAACAAAGAACTCTTTTGTTGACATGGTCCAAGAGGAGAAAGTTACTTTGAAGCCACCCCAAGAAGGAGAAACTGAAGAAACAATCAAGGAAGATCCCATTCCTAAGCCCAAGCAGCTTGCCAAACAAGCAAGGAGTAAGACTAAGGCCCCTACACCAAAACCGCCCAAGGGATCAACCAAGATTGAAGATGAGGCCAAGCCAAGAAAGAAGGTAGAAAAGCCTAGGTCTGGCCGCAACATGAAGCTTCTATTCCCAGAGGAGCTTATTGATGAGAATCTAGAAGGATTCAAGGAGAAAGTGACAAGAACTCTAAAGCTTTTTCCTAAGGCAGTAGTGCCAAGGGACATTCCAT